AAATGTGATATCATTTATGTATCACATTATTATCTGATTATCCTAAGTAATAATACAAATCTTTTCATTTTTCATATGGCTAAAAATGAGTATTTAAAAAAAAATGTTTACAGCTTAAATTGCGTAGCTAAAAAAGTGTTGATAGCTCAAAATTAGTAGTTAATATAATCGTCATAGCTCAAAATACGTTGTCAGAAAATGGTCATAGCTCAAAATATGTAATTAAAGAAATAATCATAGGTCAAAATGCGTATTTGAAAAGATGGTTATAGCTCAAAATAGTTTAAAAAAATGGATGTAGCTCAAATTACTGTTTTGGTTGCTAACGGCCCACTAGAGCCAGTGATCGCCAAACCATCGGGTAAAAGTTAATAGTTCTTTTGTTTGGTAGCTCACAGTTGGATTGAAAAACGATACGGCAGCTCAGTCATAAATTTTGCGACCACTGTACTAAAGATATACTATTGAATTCATGTACGCTTATAAAAATGGATTAAGCATTTGATTCTAATCTTCAAACTACTTTTACGACCATTGTTCTAAATTACTTAATGAAATCAAACAAACTCCACCGGCATAAATCTCTTAGTATATATATATATATATATTATAATTTAAGCATTTTTCAACAGACTTTAAAAATCTATTCTTCTTTTTCCTGGATTCCACGGATCTTTTAAAACTGTAATATAGTAGAAATTCTAATAATAGGTTTGAGTTTTCTTTTCTTTAAATCCTTCACCTCTGCTTTTCATCCAACGNATTGCTAGATGACTTCCTATTGTTTGGCAGTAAGCTATTGTTACCAATCAATCTAAAGAAAAGCTTTCAAATTCTTATTTTTAATCAATATACACATGAAATGTTCCTTCAGTGGGTGGTTTACCCTATATGCTAAATTTACTTTTAAGCAGTGGTTTTCAAAACCATTTTAAATAAAATTTATAATTCCCAAGATAAAAATAGGTTAAATTTGACTACCACTTTAAGCATAAAAAAGGACTCAAAATGGGGGGCAGCTATGAAATCGCATTTTTCTTTCGGATTTACTCATGAAACAGAATCCCTTATAGACCAGAAAATCATTAATAAATTTGTCCGTGTAAATGATATTCCTTAAAAAGTATTCACCTTTTGCTCACGGAGCTTAGCAGGATTAAAGCCATTCTGGTCCACGTATTGTTCCACCCTTAAGCAAAGGGCTGTCCAAAGATGTCAATCAAGGAGGAGGTTTTAAGAAAGGGATTACAAGAAGTGTGACAACACATAAGCCGAGGTAGATAGAGCGTTTGCCGCCAAATGAGGCGATCCAGGCTCGAATCCCAGAGGTGACTGAATGATACGAATTCTGCTCCCGGCTTGCATCGACAACAGTGTAGACGTAAAATATCCTCAGTGGCAGACTGATCAGGGGTTTTAGAATCCCCTAGCCACCGGCTATTCGTGAGAGATTTTCATGGTTTTCCTCTCAACGTAGCGCAAATGTGGTTTGCTCCATCAAAAAGTCCTCCACGAAGACAAGTTTGCTTGCCCAATGCTTGATTCAGGAATTCTCTTGTTCTCTGAGTTTGGTTTAAAATTACAAGGTTACAGATTTGAACATTGATAGTCGTTAACTCAGAATTGGGCCGGTTGTTGAACACCTGTTATAAAAATTAAATAAATAAAGTACACATGAGCCTGGCACAGAGAATAGAGCCTTCACCACTCAATGAAGTTATCTAGGTTCGAATCCCAGTGGTGGCTGGTTAATAAAATCTGCCTGCCGTCGAGGGAAGTTCCACTAACCGTGGATGGTTTTCCTCTCCATGTAACGCAAATGTTAATAATTTATTATCAATAAGTCAACAATGAAGGTTAGTCTGTCTCAATGCTTGATCTAGGAGTTCCCTTGTCTTCCGGTTTGGGTTCAAAATTACAAGGCTACAGAGTTGAACATTGATAGTCGCTAACTTTAATTTGGGTCAGCTGTTCGACACTTTGCGCAAAAAAGTCGTCAAAAATATTGAAAAAATGTGATATCATTTATGTATCACATTATTATCTGATTATCCTAAGTAATAAAACAAATCTTTTTGTTTTCCATATGGCTAAAAATGAATATTTAAAAAAAATGTTCATAGCTTAAATTGCGTAGCTAAAAAAGTGTTGATAGCTCAAAATACGTTGCCAGAAAATGGTCATAGCTCAAAATATGTAATTAAAGAAATAATCATAGGTCAAAATGCGCATTTGAAAAGATGGTTATAGCTCAAAATAGTTTAATAAAATGGATATAGCTCAAATTACTGTTTTGGTTGCTAACGGCTCAATAGAGCCAGTGATCGCCAAACCATCGAAAGTTAATAGTTCTTTTGTTTGGTAGCTCACAGTAGGATTGAAAAACGGTGCTGCAGCTCAGTCATAAATTTGGCGACTACTGTACTTAAGATATACTATTGGATTCATGTATGCTTATAAAAATGGATTAAGAATTTGATTTTAATCTTCAAACTACTCTTACGACCATTGTTCTAAATTACTTAATGAAATCAAACAAACTCCACCGGCATAAATCTCTTAGTATATATATATATATATATTATAATTTAAGCATTTTTCAACAGACTTTAAAAATCTATTCTTCTTTTTCCTGGATTCCACGGATCTTTTAAAACTGTAATATAGTAGAAATTCTAATAATAGGTTTGAGTTTTCTTTTCTTTAAATCCTTCACCTCTGCTTTTCATCCAACGACTTTGACTTTCGGAAATCATTCCACATTTTGAAAAATTCTGATATTTTAGTTAATTATCTTTTCGAATGTTAAGAAATTTATTCTAATTTAACTTTTACATTTTGCTCCCTGGGCTTCCTACCCAATTCCTTCCTACCTGTTTCTTATCTCCCTTCTTTTATTCAAGCTTGTTCTTTTTCTTCTATTGATTAAACCACTTTTTTCTGTCATTTTATACCTTGACAGACAGGAAGGTTCTAGTTTATAGAACTGAAGCTATAGTATGTCCGGCTTTATTTAAATTGTTTTGCTTTATTCATATGTAATTAGCACAGAGAAAACCCTTCTTTTATTTGGATATAATAATAGTAGCAAATAAGCATTAATACTTGGTAGGAATTTCATTTTTTTCAAACGTTTAAGAGTTATGAAAGCAAAGAATTTTCTTACAGAAATATTTCCTTCAAAAATATGTAGTGGTGGTGAAAATATCTCCCATTTTTTTCAGAAAAATATTTTTAAAAAGAATAAGGATTTACAAAGAACTAAACTTTTCAAATGAGATTCTTACATTTCTAATATTCTCGGACACTCTGACCCTATAGTCAAGAACTTTGCACCGGAATGATTACGCATAATGCTAAGAAAAAGTAGGCAAAATTCCAAATTGATTTGGTTAGGTTGGTTCATTCTTCAATATTGAAAAGGTGAGCTGTGGTAGCTTAGAGGATAGAACATTCACCTTCCAATGAGAACCGGGTTCAAATCCCAGCGATGGCTGATCGATACAAATTCCGCACCCAGCGACCGCAGTGCTGACGTAAAATATTCTCGGTGGTAGACGGACTATGGGTTAGATTCCCCTTGCCATCAGGCTAACCATGGGAGATTTTCTGCTTCATGTAACACAAATGCGGGTTAATTCCATCAAAAAGTCCTCCACAAAGGCAAATTCCTCCACATACTTGAACCAAAAGTTCCCTTGACTTCTGGATTATGTTCAAAATTACAAGGCTACAGAGTTGAACATTAGTAGTCATAAACCCAAAAAAATTGGGTCAGCTGTTCATTGCTGGTTATAAAATAAAATATGGAAAAGCAGCATTTTGTGCAGCATCTTAACACGAATTTGATTAGGTTTTTTTTTTTTTTTAAAATGCACATTAAGTGTATGTCCATTTTTTAAAGACACAGTTGAAGTTATGTTCATTTGAAATACTTATTTTGAGGTATCCATTTACTTAAATATACATTTTGAGCTCTGTGAATTTTTTTCTTAAATAAGCTTTCTGTGCACACTTTTTCTTAAATAAGCACATCATTTAAGTGCATTTGAAGATATTTCCAAAATAAAAAGCTCCCTAATACAAAAATTGGATTGATGACTTTAAATTCCCTTACTCTCAATTACCATTTCTAAATGTGGATTGCCATTTAAATTCGAAAATACATAATAGATATTTGAAATAGTACCAATATTTATGCTTTAATCATTGATTCGATAAATTTGACTTGTACTGATTGTAATCACCATGACATACAAATAATTCAAGCACGTAGGTAAAAGATCTGATAATCATAAGTACTTTTAAGTGAATGCCAAATTAAAAATAATGATTTGACCAGCACTTTCAAGTCTTTTTTTTTTGCTTAACTTTATACATTTCCGGGGACATGCAGTTGAAGTATTCAACCTCAATATGAAACAATTGAATTTTCTATCTGATCATTAGGATCCTGTTTTACAAAAAAGATAGATCTAATCATTAGGATACTGCTTTAAGAAAAAGGTGGATGTAATTATTAGGATATGATTTTACTAAAATGGTGGATCTAATCATTAGGATGCTGCTTTATTGAAAATAGTGGATTGTTTAATGCTGTTTTATTGAAAATAGTCATTAGGATACTGCTTTATTGAAAATGGTGGATCTAATCATTAGGATGCTGATTCAATAATTAATTCCTTTTGATCAAATACTCTCTAATAAGAGGTATTTCTTGAAGCATCACTATCAGCAGTCAAACATAGGTTTCTGAGCCACTTCATTAGTGATTTAATACTAAAATTCATAAGTACTATATAATTTTTAGTAAAAAAAAAATGGAAAAGTTGACAGGTGTGGTGTTTTTTTATTTTCTTCCTTACTTTATTTATAAATATATATATTTTTTTGTATATTATATACTACCACTCAGTTTTTGTGAGCAAAATAAAATTTAAAAGTTAAAATATAATAAGCTTTTAAGAAAATGGTTAATAAAAAATTACAAAGGCTTCTCATAAGAGAAAATATATACTTTATTTACTGATTTAACAATTATTACAATTATCATAAATCTTCCGAAACTAAAGAATTATTTACAAATTTATAAATCTGTCCTTTTGTAAAAGGAACTTGAGGACTATTTAATACTTTTTTCAACAGAGGAAAAACTTTGTTGTAGAAAAGTGAAATTGCTTGATCACATTTTTCTGATTTTGTAGTTAGAGAATGAATATATATGTCAAAAAAGCAATCCAGCTTTGATCTGAATTGCATAATAAGTTCAGCTTCCTCTTTGGAGCAAGTAAAATTCAACTTTTTATGTTCATCTAACATAATACATACATTGTCACTTTCTTTATGACTAGATGGCATCTGTTAAAAAAAAGTATATTACACTTTAGAAGATATGCAGAAAGTTATTTTCATTACTTTAATAGACTTAAAAACAAGAATTATGTAGAGAAATTTTCACTTTCTAAGTATTTGACTACAACAAGAGACTGCTTTTCTGTAATCCAGTAATCCACAAAGTTATGACATAACTTTTGTCATAAAAACATTATTTAACACAATTTACATAAGTTGAATATATCAAAATAAGTACATATTTTTATGCGTTTTTTAAGTCTCATTAATAAGCTTATGAAAAATTTTTGAATTTTAAACTTAAAGGAATCAAAAGGCTTTTTGGAATATTATAATAAAAATATGTATATATATTTAAAATAACACAGATAGTAAAATAAATAGTCTAATATCAGGGGCAAGAAAATGCGCATTTATTTAACAAAAGTCGTCCACTGATTATTCAATAATTGATTGTAAATATTTAATATCAATGTTTAAAAGTAAAGTAAAGCATTCCCGCAACAGCCCGTGGTGGGCCAGGGGGTTATGGAGGTTAAAGCTTTACAATTTCGTGACCAAGGGCATGATTGCGGCAATGTGGTCAGCACCGTGCACAGACCGTTTTTACTTCCCAGACAAGTTGGTACCCATAGATCTGAAGTTGGGTGGGCTTCAAGTCGCCACTGGGGATCGAAGCCTATTTCCTCACTATGACATTTCAGGCCCTTAACCACTAAGCAATCGTGGCTCATCCATATTTCAAAGCAACTCTAAATACTGAAAAAAAATTGGCAAAACAAAAAGCATAGGAATTTAAAAGAAAATTAATAGCTATGTAAATCATCTTCTTCCTTTTTCGTTACTGTATCGAATTTTTGCTAAATTTTTGAATTTAGTTTTCTTGATTTTTTTTCCTACTTAGCAAAATTTGCTAATGAGTACTGTTAAACAGCACTATGCCTTTCAAAAAGAGGTGGAAAATAAATAAGTTGTTAAACAATAGTAAGAGAAATAGCACTTGGTAATTATTCAAACTTCCATGGAATTTTCCTCAAAAATTTAAAATAATAAAATTGTGATATATGTAATTAAGAATTTAATTTAAAACTGCATGTTTGTCAGATTTCAGATTTTTTAAAATTTAGTTTTATTATTTATATTTAGCTTTTAGATTTTCTAGTTAAAACAGACAAAATATGATTTGGATAATGCTAAAAATTTCTTTTAACATAATTTCCACAAAAAACATTCATATAAATATACAAACAGACAAATGCAAAATATTTAATTATCTTTCAAAAACTGTGAATTGCAGAATTGTATTGGTACATATTAAGAGGAGTACTCAATGACTTAATATCAAGGAGAGAAACTAGTGTTTTCAACAACAAATACATAAAGTATAAAGATTTATTTTGGCATCACAAATGCTCAGTAGGATAATCTTACTTAATTGAAAGCACAATCCAAAATGCTTTTAATTCTTGAAAAGAAATAAAAGTATTTTGACTCTAAAAATTATTGCTCGGCTGTTTCTAGAAATGTGTATGGAAATTCTAATCTCAAATGATCAGATAAGAGATATATTTAATTTTTAGTAAATTTTAGAAAAAGAATGAGATGATTTTTGAAATTGAACTGACCAAAATAGTTGTTGATAAATGGAATAAACCACTATTTCAATGAGTAGATTGTTTACAGTGAAGATTATGCATTTAAGAAATAAATTTACAAATTGGAAATGCAATATTTATATTTAAGAATTTTTTAAGACCATGTAAACTTTGATTATCTGTTAACATAAGTTGATTTTTTCTCAAACTTAGAACACTATTTCTCATTTATTAAAGGGATATAAAAGATGATGACACATATGATGCATTGTATAATCTAAAACACTTGAAATTTTAGAATCAATATTCATACCGGTGATTTGAGAATTCAAATGATATGCTTATTTAAATGCATTGACTTAAATATATGTTACAAAATGCAACACAGTGTGCCCTAAAGTCCATAATTTTTTCAATCTACGAATAGAATTTGTGATATAACTATAATCTTATGTAGAAAATAACTGCTTAATAATTTGTACCAATAAATTATAAATAGATTAGTACTATGGCATAATTTTGAAAATGAACAAGCTCAAATGAGTAAATTTAACTATCAATCTAAATTGATTTTTCATGTATTGATGAAAAGGGGTTGATTATGATGACACACTATTAAGGTGATGAAGAATGGTTCATAAAAAGTTTAAAAATTGAAGTAAATGACTTTAGCTGCAGATGATTGTGAGGGTAAATAATTTAATTAAAAGATGAAATATGTTGATAAATCCAGAACTTAAAGAAAAAGGTAAAAAAGTCTATTTGCGGAAAAAATATTCATATGACATCAGCTGATGATGTTCGATAAAAAATAAATTACAGATTAAAAAACTATGAAGGCTGTTTTTCTTTAACCATTAAGTTTTTATTATGTCAGGAGCTTCATGTAAAAATAAATGATGCATTTTTAAGAAAAATAGGTTTTAAAAATAAAATGTTCAACTTTATTAAATTGAAAAGAAATATGACACAAAAGGGAGCAGCACAACAATAGAATACCTCCTGTAATAAAAACAGAAATACAAGTGTAATAAGATGTTAGTTTATCTCTTGCCAAGGGAAGTTAAGAAATCCATGCATTGGCTATGAATTGTTGCAAAATATGGCCAAGGTCATTGATTAAAAGAATTTTTTCCATTTTTTGGCTTTCAAATTTAAAAATAAAGCAGTTATGAGAAATAAAAAAGACTTTTTAATAAAAACAAAACATTAAATCAACAAAGCAACGGTTTCATGAATTCAATGCAAATGATTAACACAGATGTAGAAAGTAATCAACTCAGAGATTTGTTTCTGTTTGCATGTTGCCAAAAAAAGAGATTACCAATGTTTTGTATAAAACTAAAAAAATAATATATATAAAGAAAATTACTAATATACATTATATTAATAATTATCCTTTATTGAGAAGAAGATTAAATGTAATAATAAAGTTTTTATATGATAGAAAATATGTTATGCTTAATTGTGTAGGGCAACCACTATCTGAAAATTTTGAGCATCCAAGATAAGTTTAACTTCTACAACAGTATGCATAAACTTCAGATAATCAAGTTTCTACAACACTTGTACCCATGACTTTATATCCCACCTTTACTTAAAATTCAAAACAAACAATCATTTATTTTGCAGTGGGCTGACTTTACCGAATACTGACTTAAATAGCTAAGAATAATATATAATAATTTCACTTACTTTACAGACAGTTAACTGCTTTCCAGACACAAGAGGAAGTATAATACCAGGGATAGCGGACACTGCAGAGGTCATCATAAGTCTACGTGCCTTTGATTGCAGAGCAGAAAAATAGATAAGCCATGGACTGGGCAGTTCACTCTCATTTGAAGCAACAGACTCTTTCTGTATGTAACCTTTTTGTCCCTTCCTAAATGAAATTGAAAAGCTTATTCTGAGGTATATTTTAAAATCAGGTTGCATTCTGTATAACCTAGCAATAGCTAATCTTTCTCTAAAGCAACACAACTTTAATGAACTTTTCTAAATTCTCCTATTGTTTCAAGGGGGGTTTTATGTTTTGTTTTTAACTAACATGGCATTGTGTAATGTTTTGACAATTATCTTTTTTACTCTTATACTTTTACTCATTTGCTAACAAGCAAATTTTCTTTTAGAGAGGCTGCCCTTTCTTTAATTACCAACAATTGTTGTGAAAAAATAAAATGCAATAGAAAACAATGGAACAAAAATTTTAAAAAAATTTCCAAGTAAAAAATAATTTAGGTAAGAAATTAATTATTAGACTATTATTTATTGATTAGACTATTATAAATAAGAAATTATTGACTGGACTTATGAAAAAAATCTCGTCTCTGAAATATTTAGAATGCAATAAAACACAAATAACTACATTATAAAAATTAACTTGATTACTTTTTTCCACATATTTTTTGTTTCCCATTAAAATAATTTTACGTAATTAAATATACTACTATGAAGCCAACAGTTATTGAACCCTTTAAATAATGATGCAAGTTAAAACTACATTCATAATAAATATTATCAGATAGAATTTGCCAAATTGTATAATAATTTGCACAATTGCAATTGCAAAGTTAAATAAAACTTCTGATTGCATAAATGTGTCCAATATTTATCTAGATAGCATTTTAGATAATTTTCTCAGTATAGAGAATTTTTTAAATTTAAAAAACACCTGAGGAATAACTATAATTTATTCTTTTATGTGGCATAAACTGTACTATAAATTATATAAATATTTTTATGAAAATAAAGACATGCAGTAGCACATAAAAAATATTTCAGGAAAAACAAAAGTATATTTATAAATCTTACATTTTTAAAGCAAAAATGTTGAGAAATGGTTAATAACCAACAAAGATTATGAGTTAGGAATCAAACATGTTTGGAGAAATGCCAAGCAGTAAAAAAAATAAGAAATTGTATAAATAAGTCAATAAAAATTAATGAATGCAAACTACTTACAGAAGAGAATAAATGATAGCATCTTTGTTTATTCTGTTTTGGGATATTTCACCTTGAAGAACTTTCATAACATTAGGATGAAATGCAACAGCAAGTGCAGCAAAAATGCTTGGAGCATGGTTACTGTTTTCATTACACTTACTTTTAGGATCACAAAAATCATCTTTAAATTCAATTAGTCCAGCAGTATGTAAATTTTCAGCAAAAAGAGATTTTAAATCTAAGAAGAAAAAATAATAATAATAATACTTAAAGAAAGTAAAATAAATAAAATTAAGTTTAATTAAATATTAATTTTCACATTTGTAGAAAGGAAAATACAAGAAACAATATAATAAATAAACAATCAATTTTGCAATTAATATATTTCCTCTCTGCAAGTTACTGAATGTTTAGTTCAATTATGAAACACTGTTTAAAATTTTTAAAAAAAAACTTAATAGATCAAAAATAGCTGGCTCAATATAATAGATAGACTGTTATTAATTTCAAAATGTTTTTATCAATACATACATAAATCATATAAATAACTTATTTTTTAAAATGGAAAAACTTTTAATCCTATAAAGAACATTTTCAGCTGAAATATTTTTCAAATCACAAACTTCTCTTCTTTAGTATTACATGAAAGTCCTGTTTGCTACTCTATAGGACACAATTATATTTTAACCTACATTAGAAGGTTTGTGTAAACGTCTATGCATTTAGCAACTAAACTTTAGCTCCATACTTTTACGCTGTCCTTTACAATGGTCATTTGATTTAGCAAAAGTTTTACAGAAGTTCTTTAATCCGCTTAATGTTTTTCTGTTTGCTTTACAATGCATTTCAAATTCGTTTTGAATAGCGAAAGAGTGACACAACTACCTAGAATCTTATATTAGGTTGTCCTGATCAATTGTCAAAAAGTTAGTTGAATACATTTTTTTAAAAGTCAAAATTGCATAGCAGATTCTGCATGATGCAGAAATTGATATTAAGTCCCATGCACATTCATTAGATTAAAAAGATTACACATTCTTTGTAACTTTCCTTTGTGCAACAATGTGCTGTAAATTTTTATTCACTCTTGTGAATTGAGAGGTCTCCTTGAGAGGTTTATTTATGAGTTAAAACATGCAATATTCACATCCTGACTTCTGGAACTTGTTAATGCTTAGACTTTGCAGTAATCTGGACATGTTTATTTACATTTATAGCCTAGAACCAGTTTATTATTTTTAACCCTTTGAACCAGATAGGACACCGATCTTACTATATATCTTTTTATCTGAAGCTCCTACAACAAGCAAAAATATATTTCGGCTCTTTTTTAATATGAAAAACCGTCTAATAGTTACCAAAAAAATCTATTAGATTACATTTGTACCAAATTATAAAATCCCCCCCCCCCAAGAAAAATAGTAGTTTGAAATTTTTTTCATTCATACTTAAACCTCAATTTCACAAAACTTGTTGAATATCAAATATTTTTTTACAATTTAGTCACACTAACAACTGCAATGATATTTTAAAATTATATAACATGTTTTTACTTAAAAAGGAAAAAAAAAATTCCAACAATGACAATATTTTTGCTTCATCACTTGATTTTACATTTTACTGAATTTCCTTTGTTTTATCAGTTTTCTCTTCCAAAATGTCTCCTGATGCTGTAACCTCTTTTAATATTTCTGATTCTTCTGAATCATCACACACTACAGGATTATTATCTATGGTAACTACATCTTCATCAGCATCGATTTTTTTCGAATTAATTAATTTAGCAAGCTCTTTTGAATTCTGTGGGAGGTTATTCTCATCTGTGCACACATATCCTACAAATTTACTTCCTTAAGAATGGATGATTCTAAATGGTTCAAGAAATGGTTTACAAAATTATCCCAAGAAAAGTCTTTAAAACTTGAAGTTCAAGAAATATATTTAAATTCTTCAGAAATTATGAAAAAATATTGGGTAAACAAGAATATTTCACAAAATCAAGGGGCACCTAAGAAATGTATTTGACTAAAAGAGGTTTTAGTTCTACTATCAGCATAGAAAAACACAGGAAATTTTGAATTTTGTGGGACATCAAAGTTCGTAATTTCAAGGATTGACTGCATAACATTGCTTTGTCAAAACTTAGTTATGAGTTCATTGTGTTTTTATTTTTTTTTTGCAAACTCATGATATAACCATCTGATAATGAACAGGAAATTTTGAATTTTGTGGGACATCAAAGTTCGTAATTTCAGGGATTGACTGCATAACATTGCTTTGTCAAAACTTAGTTATGAGTTCATTGTGTTTCTTTTTTTTCTTTTCGCAAACTCATGATATAACCATCTGATAATGTAAATAATGTAACCTTTGAAAGACAAGTGTTGTTATATAGAACAGTAATTGTATCTCATATTAAGCTCTTTAAAAAAATTCATTCATAATGTAAAAACAAACTTTATAAAAAAGAAATTTTATAAAGAAGAAAAAATTATCTTGGTAACTAAAGAATAATCGCAAAAAAAGGAATGTTAAAGCAAAATAACAATAAATAGACTTAAAAAAATAATTATATTACCTGATATTACATTTAAACTTTGTTCATCTAGGAAATTCTGCTCCATAAACTTAGAAAGGTTAGAATCATTTCCCAGTCTTTTCCATTCATCAAATATTTTAGCTAATGCTAAGTGATCACTTAGCATTAAATTATCAAAAGATCTTTTTATCTGGAATTAAAACAGAAACATTAATAAATTGTATTCATTTTTACTAAACTTTGTAATTAATATTCTTTGTTATTCAAGCTAAGCAAACTTTAAATATATCAGACAAAACACACTGCCCTTCTGTAAGAGAAAAAAAAAGAAATAAAAATTTGATGCACAACCATTTAATAAATTATAAGAGTTAATTATAAGTTATAATTATTAGAGGAAAGAAGGTTAACTGTTCACTGCATTTCAATTGCACCACAGTTCAATAGTGAGGTCTTCCAAACATAAATAAATTGAACATAATTCATTTATTGTAATAAAATATCTGATTCATGAAGAAAACTTTTTGGGAGTAGGGCACAAGAGGTTATTTATTTATTTATTTTTGAAGAAAAGGTTTGATACATTAACAATTCTATCATTTTTAACATGTTTGCTTATATGCAGAGGAAATATGACCTTTTATCAATCTGATGTCAAATTTTTTAAAGTTATTTGATAAACTAATAAAATATTGACAGCTTGAAGCCCACTAAGCTTCGGATTGGTGGGTACAAGCTGCTCTGGGAAGTAAAGGTAGCCTGTGTGCAATGCTGACCACATTGCCACAATCATACTGTAGGTCACAAAATTTAGGAGCCTTAACCTCCATGTCCTCTCTGGCCCACAATGGGCTGTTGCAGGAATGCTTTAATAAAATATTGAAGAGTTCATTCTATTCAAATGTGTTACAATTCATGCACTCAAAATAAATATTATTAATATTAAAAGAAGTATATTCCATTTCAAGTAAAATTCCTAAAGTTATTTTAAAGGTTAATTTTAAAATTTGTACAAGAACTGAAACACTTAAATTGCCAATTAAAGTTAACTTACACAAATTAAACAAAAAAAAAACTTTCAATAAGTGAATTTGAAATCTATAATGCTATCATTTTTTAAGGCATGTTTAAAGAATGTAATGAAATGATAAATCAGTAAAAGCAAATTAAATATGAAACAAATTTCAGTTAATTTGTAACAAACAACAATAAGAAAAAAAATTAATCAAATGCAAAATGCTTACATTTTTATGAAATTACTTACATTTTTAACAAGAGATTTATCTTCTAGTGTATTTAGGAATGGTTCTTTACCAAGAGTTAGAATTGAACAAATGGTCAAGACAGGATCAAGACATCTATTTAAAAATATATATTACCATTACTATCTATTCTAAAATAAAAGTATCAAACACAATAATTGGAAATAAAATGTTAAATTGTTACTGTTTCAAAAAATATAATAACTTTAAAAGCAAAATAATTCTTTTGTTATTACAGTATACTCGCAATCCCTCAAAGTTGAAGGGACACTAAAAAATTTCGAGAAAGCGAGCTTTTGAGATAACTAATTCAGAACTAAATATGTTCTATAAAGTAGAAAAATATATTCTAAAATAGTACTCTAAAAAGTAGAGTCAAGAAAATTAAAAATATTTACTAATAAATATGGTTGTAATAATAGTTAACTATAAGTCTACTATTATTACAATAGTTGACTATAAGTATACAGTAATGATAATTTCATTTTTAAAAGTAAGACAAAAATAATTATGAATTAAAAAGAAAATAATTGGTTTACAATAAACTTACACTGTGATTTTTCTGTAAACATTCCACATAATAAGGTTTTGAGAAGAAACTGTTTGACATAGGAATTTAAATTAAAATTATGTGGATATGTAATGCCAAGAAGAAAAATATTTTTTTGACATAATAAGGTTTTTGAGATATAGATGTTCGAGACATCGAGAGTATACTGTATAAAAATAAAAAAATATTTTATAGAAAATATCAAAAAGCTATTTAAACAAGAAATATTAGTTACCTAAGTGTAAAGAAAAGTATACTTCTACCTTAAAAATGTTGCATAAACCAAAGCAACTGACAATCTAGGATGAGTTCCAAAATTGACTACAACTTTTCCCAAATCGGTTAATTGTTCATTTTCATCAAGTATACCAATAATTTGAAGCTCCTCAACGCCAGCTTGTAAAGAAGGTTTGCTAGGTGCATGCAAGGCAGATGAAAGAAAGTCTTCAGCTTTAGATTCAGGGCAGTAACGCTGAATAGAGAAGGTTATATTTATTTTACAGTGCAATCTACATATTGAATGTAAGTACAATAACTATAAATAAAATCAATACCTTTATTTTATAAAATAAAAACGTGTGTGACAAAAAGAGCTCAAAAAATTGCTGGTAATAGAAAAACTAGTTTTCATTATGTCTAATTTTATCAAGTATAAATTTTGTTAATGCAAAAGAGAATAATATGGAGAAGTTTATACTTCTGCGACTGCTTTAAAAAAATAAAAACATTTTTTTCTCCCTACTTTGTAACCACAAATAGTTTATTCAGATTTCTGACATTAAAATATAGAGTAACACTGAATCTGGAAAATATGCTTTCTGACAGACAGGAAGGAGAGCAGGTGATATTAATGCTAATTTTACTTTTATGTAAGCTGCCATATTTTAGGAACTAATCAAACAAACCAAAAAAAATTTCGCTCACAATTATAAAACTTGTTTATTAAGGATAAATCCATGGAAAAAATAATTTTTAATAATTATGTCACAAATATTTAGTTATTAAATAATAATTATTTCACAAATATTCAATTTCATAAATAATAGTATCAATTTATTTTTAAATGCACTAATCTGTTAAAAGCTTCAGTAATTATATTATCTTCTCTAATTAATTAAGTTTTCAGACTAGTTCTACACATAATTTCTCCACATTTTTTAAAAAAAAATGCTGTTTATTCAAAATAAAAACAATTAGGAATACTGAAGTTAAAATAAATACAATAACTAAATTAAGATGTAAAATACTTTAAATTCATAATTTAAAATAAAGAATCACATTATCAAGAGGAAGTAAAGTTGATGATAATGGAATTAATAAATACAAAAGAAGAAAAACTACAGATAAGAAAGTTGAAGCAAATAAAAGATATAAAATACTTCAAAAACATACTTTACAATCAAGAATCACACTCTCCAGAGGCATCCTTAAGAGTTCAGGGAGGGGATAATCCTCCAACTTCATCAACACCTTTCTTGTAAACAGATGATAACAAACACCAGGCTGAACACGACCAGCTCTTCCACTTCTTTGGCGAACATTGGCCTTTGTTATCCACTGAGTACCTAAAGAAGCAACTGCCTGCTCACTATCAAATGATGTCTCTTTATGAAGGCCAGTGTCCACTACATAAACAACATCATTTACAGTTATTGACGTTTCAGCAACATTTGTGGCTAAGATGATCTTTCTAACATCAATGGGAGGTTTATTAAAAAGCCTCCTCTGTTCTTCATGAGGCAACCTTGAATGTGCACAGCACACCATCAATTTGGATGGATTAGGATGATAAGTTAGAAGCTTGTTTTTTACATTTAGAATATCATTCCAGCCAGGTAAAAAACACAAAATGGCACCAGGTTTCTTTAATTTATCAATATGACTTAAAATGTCTACCACTAGATCGACATCCAAAATGGGATCTTTCTTTTCTAAATCGTTTTTGTATTCAATTTTGTCGGTTAACAAATCATCCAAATAGTAATCTCTAACAGGGAAGCTTCTTCCAGGTACGTGAATCACGGGACAGTTATTAAAATAATTAGAAAATATAACAGTGTTAAAAGAAGCACTCATAATTATAAGTTTGATTTTATTATTAGTTTCAAGTAGCCTCTTTAAAAGGATTAATAGAAAGTCAATTTGGATGCTTCTTTCGTGAACTTCATCAACTATAACGTGACTAACACCTTCAAGATTAGGGTTGGAACATAATTTGCGAAGCAGCATACCGGTTGAGCAATAAAGTATGGCTCCTTTTTGTGAAGGTAACATTTTATTCAACCGAACTTGATGCCCTACAGTTTCACCAACCTAAGGAACAACGTTAAATGAATTAAAAATTATAGCAATGCCTTTATCTATTAATACTTTCATATTACTTTAGAATTGAATCAATGATTTTTTTTAAAAAATAAAACAAATAATACAGATTTCAGTTTTTTATTAATGATATAACTGGAATATTGTTTGTATGTCCTTAAAACTTAAGAGATCAAAATTTTAAGTACAAAATTTAATCAATTAAAAAATTCTACAAAAGTCACAAAACAATAAAAGAAAACATAAAAATTTATTTACTTGTTACCTTTTCTCCTCTTTCTGCAGCAACTCGTTCAGCCATAGATATAGCAGAAATTCTTCTTGGTTGAGTAACAACTACATTGCAGTGTGCACCTTCCATCTTGTTAACATAGTGATCAAGAATAAATTGTGGAACCTGAGTAGTTTTACCACATCCTGTTTCTCCAGAAATCACAACAACTTGATTTTTATTGACAAGTTGTATGATGTCCTCCCTGTAATATTAATAATATTCATTTCATGAAATACGGTAAACTATGATTAAGTTTAATAATATATTTCATTTACATCAAATGACTTTTGCTTCAAAACTAGAAAAAAAGGTCAAAAACTGTTTGCCAACTACTTTTACCTGAAAATAATAAATTAATCATTTATTAATTTTGTAACTGAACAAGCCCATAAATTTACAGTATATATTGGGTTTCTAAAAAAAGGACCAATGGTTTAAAAAGTCAATTAAAAAAAGGAAGAAAATAGAAATGTATGGTTTTCTGTAGTCTGCTTAGGAAACCAGAATTTTGACTCACTAAGTTACAAATTTCAACTAAGAATGGGCTTATAACTGGAAAAAATGATAAAACTATGCCCTTCAGCAACAAAATTAAAATAGTCACATATATTTTTCAGTTGGAATGGTCTAACATGCTGTAGAGAGTTAGTCTTTCTTGTCAGTGGTGCCATTTGTTAATGAACTTTGAAACAAGTTTTGAAAGTTGGCTAGAAGAAATTCTCTGATTACTTTAGTAGAATATATCAAACTATAAATTTTTCTTCCTCCAATTCTTCAGTTGATTTTTTAAATCATAGACCGTTTTCGTTAAACAAAATATAAGTTACCTTTTATTAAAAATAGGTAGCTGCAATCTTGTCGATTTTATTTCTTCCAGAAATGGATCCTTGCATTGCATAAGAGATGTATTTTTATCAAACATTTCTTGACATCGTTGATGGATTTCCTTTTCTGAAATCTCTTGCATTGGCTTTTCGGTAATTATATCATAAATCACAGAGTTACTGTCTTGACACATTTTATCAGGTGTTTCATTAAATATGTCATCAGAGAAAACTGTAGATCTATCCTGACAAAACAACAAATTAATAATTTTAGCAATACTGAAAAAGTTATGTCCAGAAATATATACATATTAATTATAAAATAAAGAGTCTTACAATATAAATGAGTGTAGATTTCAAAGTTTGAAATTCATGTAAGCAAATAAATTAAGCTATTTTTAAAACCCAAAGGAAAAGCCTGATATGTTAAAAAAAATATACCGCAAAACAAAAAGATTGTAAACACTTTTATGAAATTTCACAATGCTTAAATTATAATTAAAATATATGCTAGTAATCTAAACCAACTACATAACATAAAAACCAATGGAAAAGTCAAGTGATATGTATATGTTAAAAAAAATATTCTGCAAAATAAAAAGATTGTAAACACTTTTATAAAATATTATGATAATTAAATTATAATTAAAATATCTGTTATTAATTTAAACCAACAACATAACATAAAAAAAATCCAATAGAAAAGTTTAATATATAAATGTTACATAAAATATGCCACATGATATAAAGACTAAACAGTTAGCTTACATTTCATGAAAGTTAAATTAATCTTAGAATATTAGCTAGTGATCTAAGCAAACTATTTAATGTAGAACAAAGTCAAATAAATAGCACTTCAAAGAAGAATATTATCTTTCAATAAGAATAAGAATTCTTTATTTGAAGACTTTTTATAGAACTATTGAAGAAAAAATACTTGATTGAAAAAACAGATAGTTAATAATAATAATAAATTAATAGCATTTAGGTTTTTTTTTATAAATACAGCAATGAGAAGAACATACATTTAAAGATTTAAACATAGAATTCATTTCATCTTGCAACTCATGAGGAATAGAGAGAGAATATGGAGACGAATGAAGTTCCAAAAGTTTCACATCATCATCGCGTGAATACAGAATCAATCTTTTCTTCTTATTAATAAGTCCTAATTCTTTCAGCCAAGACAAAGCTTTGGCAGAAACGATTCTTTCAGCATCCCTTAAACGTCCAGCAAAAGCTTCAAACGTCTTTGGTTCTGGATAAGTCAAAGCAAGTTCCGATCTCCAGTATTTCTCTTTACCAAAAAGACCTATATATTGCAAAGGAAAAGAAAAAAAATAATCATAGTTCAGTTAAGAGAAAAATAAATATACACATTTCATGCATATACAGTGAACTCTCTCTACTACGATATCCGATACAACAATAACTCTTTCTATTACTATAATGTTTCGTGGTCCTGATGAAATTGCATATGAATTAATGTTATCCACCTCTCAATATTGCGATATTCGTTGAACCCCTGTAAAAAGATTCTTTTTTTAAAATTTCAACCTTATTTTCTCCATTATTATTGGCTTTCAAATAATGTGAAAAATCTTATTTTATCATATATTGCCATGCTTCTCAGTCTTTTTTGACAAGAAAAGACTCACTGCCGTTTATGTACTTATGTTATTTCTTTTCAAGACAGTAAATGGCTTCTGTATTCATGTTTCAAAACCCCATCCTTGAGGTACATAGACCACCCCAAGACCTTCCCTTCTTAGAATCGCCTCCCTTATCTCTTAAGAAGTCACTGATGTAACATTCCTATCTGATTTCGTCAAGCAGTGGACTGATCGTTAAGACACGGTTCCCAGCGGATCACCAAAGTCAAACATCACTGGTTGCGGTCAGTGTGCGGGTGGGTGACCACTTGGATCAGTCTGCGTAGGGACCGAGGGTGTGCGGTATTGGTCCTCGTTAAACTGTTCTACCGTAAAGTGCTCAATTTTGCATGCAGGTCGTCAGGCTACCGAAGCGGGGGTGCCATCCCCTCTGCAGAGGATCAAAATTGTGATGGCATGCCTTCGGATCATCCCCAGTGATGCTTCCCAGACCCTCGCCAATAGCCAACTGTGAAGCTCTAGTGCGACATAAATGAACTACAACAACCCTATCTGATTTCATATTTAACCATAATTACCACGCTGCAAATTAAATTTTGATATAATATATAAATAGATTTATACTTAATACATATATAACACTAAAATTTTAAAAAAAAACCTCATTGTGTCCCCAAAGTATGTAGGCCTTCGATATAATAATATATCCCTCTACAACAATGTATTTATTTGGTCTCCAAAATTTTGTTACAGCAAAGTTTTACTGTGCAATACATTAGAAATGGGACTTAAGATGAAATTTTCATGAACTTTTTTACTACTTTCAAACAAACACTTAGTTTATTAAGTATAAAAGATGTAAAATTTATAAGTTTTAAGTAACTACAGCAATCTTCTAATTCTGCTTGGTTGTTTTGCTTTGAAAGACTAACACCACTAATTGACTTTCATTCAAAGATTTTGATTTTCTTTTTTAATTTTTGTTTAAACCAACTTGGAGCGTCAGTCGGTGCTATACCAGGCATTTTTTCCTGATGGATAAAGTGAGAGAAATGTGAATAGAGTTACTGTGGCAAACTTACTGAATTTCAATGAAACACAGAAAGACTCTATTAGCAAAAAGTAATATTCAATGTATCTGAAATGTATAGATTTTTAAACTTAATAAATTCTTATCGATTTACAAAGAGGTTTTTCGATTGGGAATTGTACGGATGATAAAATACTTGAATGTTTGCCGTATTTGACAGTTCCTCTTAAACATTTCTGATTCACATTCAATTTTAGATTTTTCTCTTTGGTTTTTGTTTCTCAGGATAGCAATAGAAAAATTTTTAATGACTATTTTTCTTGTTTAGACATCAAAGGTCAGGGGAGAAGAAATTAATTCACAGCTAATATGAAGACATCATTTTTCACTAGGATGAATGATCACTCACCAATGAACTGAATAACAAATAATTTGGTAATCGGTAAATCTCGCTGAATACCAAAAAGGAATGAAATATTCTTGAAATCCAGTCCTTCATTAAAATACAATTAATAAAAAATAAAATTAATAAAAATATCATAATTTTCTTGCTAATAGTTTCTACTAAACTCAATTATGTGGTGTAAAAAAGAAATCCTCAAATTTAATGAAAAATAACCGCAGAGTTCTCCCTAGGTATAAAAAAGGGCTGGGTGCTTCCTCGCACAAAAGGTGTAATATTATGAAATAACTGAATTTGAAATTCAACAATTTTTAAATTACTCTCTTAAACTATTATCTATGCACATTTCAAAAAGTAATTCTCACTCACTATCAAATTAAGAGAAAAATTTGTAGTTTATAAAAAATAATTAAAGACATGATAAAACAATCTTTATGCATAGATTTTTTTTTCTAAAAGAAAAAAGCAAACTTAACCTTAAAAGAGAAACTTATAAAAGTTCAACAAGTTGAGAATAATCGTAACAAAGTAAATATTTGTACTAGCAATCAGAATTAAACCTATAAACACAGATAATTTTACTAGAGTATGATTATCATTTAAACAGTGAAAATGGATTTGAATAAAAAGGCAGTATTTTTCAGGGATGGCAGCTTATTTTTAGGAAAAGGGCACATTTATAGGAATCAAAGGGCAGGCAGGGGAGGGGACTTCTAAATACGTTTAGAGGGAACACTGGAAACCGCATTAATAACATTTTGATATCAGACTGTTTGTTTATATTTTGACATCAGATTCATTTCTCTTAAAATTTGCAAAATTTCATACTGTTTCATGTTAATGAAGTTATAGTATTGAGAAGCATACTCCGTAAAACTTTCTGATATAGGTAGTTTGACAGCTGCAGTGACTTCACTCTTTTTTTTCTTCCAAAAAATACTTCCACAAAATAAACATTCAGCTTAGTATAGTTATATACTCAGTATAGCACAGTCTTTTAATTGCAAAATTTTTTATACATTTACAAATTAAGTTTCAGTAGTATGTAATTAAACTGATAATTTTTTTTTAAATTTGTTCAACATTTATATATATTTCTAACCAAACTATTATTACCTATTTACTGTCACACTTAAGTGTTTATTTTTTTTAATAAAAGATAAGCGATGTTTTTTTTATGAAAAAAATTAGTTCATTGGCGTGTTTTCTCTCAGTTTTTGCTACCTTGTTTGTACTCGGAAAAAGGAGCTCCATGGCGAGTGATAGAAAAATGGTTTTTCAATAACAAAAAATTCATTTAGATTTATTGAGTGAAGTTCTAAAAATTGCGAAATGGATACCTAAAATGATATATGTGCACAACAACTTAAGTTAAATAGAGGGGTAAATTTTTTTGATTTCAATTGAGTTTTCTAAAAAAAAAGTTGAGAGAGAGAGATTTGTAAATATGCCAAACTGCCAGACAAAATTTGTTGAAGAGGGAAAATTTTTAGGAGGTCACAGCAACCATCCATCCCAACATTACTGATTAACATCATGATTTTTCAATAAGTACTCTCCTATATCTATAATATCAGAGAAATGTAATATATATATGTAATATAAAGTATCGAAATAAATTTACCTACCATCAGTTTGTACTGTTTTGAACTTAGGGATATATTCTTTTTTTCCATAACGTGTCCAAATACGCTCATAAATATTACACAGGACAGATTTAGAATTTTCAACATTATTGTCATCAAATGCTACAACTTTTTCAGGGAGAACAGGATTATTGTCTTTGTCTAAAACACCTAAATCCTACAAGGAAAAACAAGCAATCTATTAATAATTTGATTATTTAATATAAAGACAAAGTTTTTGTATAAATTACAAAAAACTACAAAAATACAACAAAAAATAAAATACAGCAGAATACAATACAAATAAGAAGTCGATAATTCTTTTTAAAGTTTTTCTAGATATAATTCTATAAATAAACATAAATTCTAGAGTTTAAAATATTAGGTATGCGTCAAAAGTGTAAATGAAGCTTTCATTATATTGGAGTAGGAAAAATTGTACTAACAGAAAATATAATTAAACAGAGATCTTTAATTTTGGAAAACAAGTTTTAATATTTGTTTAATATATTTGCTACTATTTTATGATTTAAAAATATAAATGCATAGTGTGCAAAAAGAAACAAAAAAAAAAACTAACCACTTTGATTAATTTTTGATCTAAAGTTCAGATCTTTATGTTCTAGAACTTAAACTTAATTGCTCGAGGGGGTGACTTCAAATATGGTTATTAATATTACAGATGATATCTTAAGTAACTAAATCAGACACAAAAATGCACTTCTTTTAATAAACATACCATTTTTGACAAATACGGATTTTTGATCTCAAAAATTTAAGCGGCAGCAGCAATTTGGGAAATATTACCCCTTAATGTTAATTTTACTTTCTGCGTTCTTCGCTATATCTCGAGAACTTTGTAAGCGAATTGAAAACTTTCTGCACACAATTAGAAAATTCGTTTAACCAAACATAATTCCGTGCTTTTTTTTTTTGGTGCACTGTACAAAAAAAATCATAAGAAGAGGCTTGCCAAATTGGTAATTTCAAAGAATTTATATATTCTTATGCTTATACAATATGACAGCATAAGATATCACATAAAGAACACAAGACACTAGTACACAAACTCGAGAACAATAACTCATAAAATGCACACATGGGTGAAATATGTTTTGCTAAATTATTTGTAAAAATTAGCTTATAAAATATGCTATTTTTAACAAATTTATATTCAAATAATAAGAAAAAAAACTAACTTTCATTTTAAGACAAGCGAGTAGAAAAGATTCTTTTTCAGCATCAAGCTTCCTGCTAGCAATACTTTCAACTTGAAACTTACTAGGCCATGTCATATTTATTGTAACTTGCCACATTTTTTGTTTAGTTTCACCTAAAATGAAAGTTAAAACAATGATAAATTTACTAAAAATTATCAATATCAATTAATTATTAATCAAATATATTATTAATTTTATTAATTTAAAAAATAAATTAATAACTATGCATGCTAAAAAAGTTTTAAAATAAAACTACACAGTAAACTTTAAGTTAATTTGTAGCTTTGAAAAAGTTTAGCCAGCGGTTAAACTTTTTTAAAGCCACAGAACACTCATGTAAATTTTTTCCTGATAGCATACAGCTTTATATAATCAAAAATGAGTTTCACTAAGAGTCATTTGCATGTTTTCAATAATTATTCATTGTTGGTTCTTTACATTAGGTGAACACAAATAAATAAACTTGTATTTTGTATTTTTTCTAAACTTTTATGGAATTAGTTTTTTGAAAGCTATTTAAAGCCTTGGTTTTATATTGTTTATAGTCACACTTTTTAAATGCATTTTTTATAAACCTAAATAAATTTAAGAAAAATTTTAAAAATTTAATAAAAAATTAAGTTAAGTGCTATGTGCAGGCTCATCAGAAAAATTATAAGGCTGACATAAAATCTTGAATATCACAAGTTAGATGCAATCAGTAACATCAATAACAATAGCTGAACAGTACTGTGTATAATAAATATTTCTGTTAAACCTCTAAAAACATGTTTTGATGAATTTAACAAATCCCAGAAATGGTAAAATAAAATTGAGATAATGCACTAATTTTGAACTTGTAGCAGGGCAGAAAAAAGATATTTGTAAATACTGTGAAACCTACAGCACAAAAAAAAAAAAAAAAAAAAAAAAATATCGCAAAAATAGTATTATTAGTTATTACCCATGAGAATTATGATTGCTGCAAATCTTGATTTTTTTGAATTAGTATTAAGTAATCTTTAAGTAATCAAATGTTTTTTAATGATAATTATTCTTCAAAAATTTGTTTTAATAAACAAAGTAACGTGAAGTCACAGGTAAAAGTGAAAATACCGCTAAGTACTAAGAGCTAGTTGAAGGGAAAATTTATAGGCAGTAAAAAATTATAAGAGCATTTTGCAGTAAGCCCTCTCAATAAAAAATTAGTCAAACTTGCTATATGAGTCATTTTAATAATGTCGGAGTTCAACAGCCGCTCTTGAATAAGTGGATAAAAAACCATATACACTAGTTTATTTTTCAGCCTAATATTACACATTAATAGGAAATAATAATTATATTTTAAATAAAAACAAACAATTTTGTTTTAAATCTATAGGTTACAAAATAATGAAAATATGTTATAGAATAATAAATGTGTATATGAGCAGGAATATAAGATTTACATTTAAAGATGCTTGTTAATAGTCAAGGTATTTTTTTCAATTTTATCCATTTAGCAAAAAAATTTACATTTAATACAAACTTAATAATTAGCAAAAAAATTTAAATAAAATATTTTTTAACAAAATGGCTGCATTTTAAACAAAAAATTATTTTAAAAAAAACGTTTTAATTAATAAAAAACAATTAATACAACAAAAAAAGCATATGGGATGGAAACTATATTAAAAATATGCATGTTGCTGTATTTGTTTTTAAATTTGATGAAAACTGAAAGAACTAAGATCTCACTTTTGATAAATGTATTTTTCTCATTAAACTGAGTTTTAACAACAATTTTTAGAAAATGATTCCGAATATTCCATAGAGTCAAATGCTCATTCTTATTTTTTATTTTTGTGAAATTTCTCAGGGAAAATTCTCCTGGGATTCTCACACATAACTTTAATTGCTTATTGATATTTAAATCCTCAAGAACACTTATTCTTTGTTCACCTACACCAAACGTGCCTTAGAACATCAGTAGAAGACTACTGTAGTAAATGTTTATGGTATAATCTTAAAAAATAGATATAAAATTGTACATTAAAATAAATCTTAAAATACTGTGATGGCAAAATGTAAAAGAAATGTTTTTGTCATACTCTCTCTTAAAAAATGAAACTTTCGTTTTGTAAATAACACCAATTTTTTCAATTAATTTTACTCAAGAAAATTTCAACAGAGAAAAAAACCTCCCAAGCTCATTTTATTCATGTAAAATAAAAAAACTTAATTTTAAGGATAATAAAAAATTTTAAAAAATTTCAGCTAATATCCATAAAAATTTAAGAAAAAAACTGTTTAGAAGGATGTAAAATCTTCAATTGAGTATTAAATAGAAAAATATTAAGCACATTAGTAGAATATTACTTTTTTTTTCTTCTATACTGATTCTAAAGATAATGACTATTATTTTTAAAAAAATTCTTCCTAAAAGACAATGATAGTAAAAATTAAAACAGGTACAGTGAAAAACTAAGAAAAAGTAAAAAAAAAAAAACATTCATAAAGACAAGAAAGAAATTATATATGAATGAATTAAAATATACAAATTTATATCATTTTTTTTATCATACCATGTTCAATTTCTTGAATTGACACAGAAGGTTTAATGTTGGGATTTTGGTGAACAGCAAATGCTTCATTGACTACTTTCCACAGAGTTTTCTTTGGTTCTATTATTTCTTTAACAGATTGTTTGTTATCTTTAAAAATAATAACAATATTAAAATATAAAGAGATAAGAAAAGTAAATCAGTCATTAGAAATACAGATTAAAACAAGAAACTTAATATAAGATTAAAACATCATTCTAATAATAAAAATTTTAGTTCAACAGGTTACGTTAAAACTATGATTTCCCTATAATTTTGGTAGATTTTTTATGTAAGTTCACTATTGATTTTTATGCCATTTTAGTAAATATTATCTATACATAAATTAAAAATATGGAGAAAACATGGAAAATAATAAAGATTAATGAAAAGAGAAGAATACAAATTATTAAAATAAAATATTTTCAAAATTTTTTTTTATTTAAAAATATATATGAGGGTTGTAAATTAAATAGTGGCAACTTAACCTTGAAACTCACAAAAGGGCACGCATGCGTAAATAGGGTATGGGTACGGTGAGGTGGCGCTGTTGTCGATGTGTAGAGTGCAAAAAACAGTCGATTTGCTTAGAAGGGTAGTTGTTGCGTGGCGTTAAAGTGAGGAGTTTCGTTTCCATCGCTCTAAAGCATGTTGTGAAAAGGCTTAATGACGAAAAAAGACGAGATGCTTGAATCCATCGTGCTACTGTCCTATATGGTAAAGCATTTGCTCCAAAGGCTTCCACTAATCCTCGATAGCATTCTGTTGCATTTTTGCCACGGGCAACTTTGATTGTAAGCCACGACCGCTGATCACCTTTTGAAAACATGCTTTAGAGCAATGGAAACGAAACTCCTCACATTAATGCCACACAACAACTACCCTTCTAAGCTAATCGACTTTTTTTTGCACTCTACACATCGACAACAGCCCCACCTCACAGCTCCCATATCTAATTTGCGCATGCCCGTCCTTCTGTGAATTTAAAGGTTAAGTTGCCACTATTTAATTTACAACCCTCGTAAATTAAAAAGCAGAAAAACAAAATAATGAAAAGATATAATCTGTTCATCAGCTCACACGATTATGTTTGCAAAAAGGAGTACATTCTAATATTGTATTAATATAGCCAAAAAATAATAAAACTTATTAATTTTCTTCGTTTTTCTCTTTTTGTCTTTATTGTGATATATATATATTGATCTGATAAAAAAAAACTCCATGAAACAAAAAATTTTAAAGAATGTTTCAGGAAAGATATGTATATTTTTATGAATGCCTATAACAAACGATAAACATTTTACGAGTAATTTTTGCTTGAGCCAGAATACGTAGGTAAATACAGTTTCATAGCTGCCAACGCATATAGGAAAAAATCCATAGATTTTACAAAATATTATAAATTTCATGATAATTGTTGAAAACTATACTAAATATTTAACGCATAGGGAATTTAAGGGATTTTTATAGTCATCAAAATTGAAAAACTGCAATATTTTCCAGTTATGATTTCACATTAAATGATCTTGAAATGTTATGCATTATGCTTATTCATAATTTTTAATAGTAATAGACATTCAATTCATCAAAGATAGTTAACTGAATTTTTTAAAATAGTCTCGCTTCTTAATGTATTAGTGACATTTATTTCAATATTCAAGCAAGCAATGATCGACATAAAAATTACATCTTAAAAGGGATTTTTTTTTATTGAAACTTAGTAATTTCTGAAATCCACAAGAACCAGGAGAATTTTTAATAAACCAGTAGACCAGGAGAGTTGGCAGCTATGCAGTTTTTTAGTGAAGTTAGTGAATAAACACGATAAAGAGTTTGATAATTATGGAAAAGTAAGAAGTGGCAATTAGAAATTTGCATTTTGCTGAAAGTAATTATTGAAAAATAAGAAAGATTTTTTTCTACAAGACTTTTTTTCTACATAGAAAATTTATAATAGTTTTACACATTAAAAACTTTTTGGTTTTAAAATAATAAATAAACAAAATGTTTTAATAATTAAGATTAAAAAGTTAATACCATTTTCAAAATTCTGCTTGACAGATGAGAATGAACTTGAAAATGTGGGACAAACATTAAACTTGTTTAAATTATGGAAAGCGTTAAAATTTAAGCAAGAGAAAGATTTTGTATGTTCAACATAACTCGCAATTCTTGAAATTTTGGGCAAAAGTGACATATTTATCAGTTTCAAAAAAGGAAAATAGTAAAGAAAAAGATTTTAAATTATGATGAAATTCAGATCTGCATTTCACTCATGTTTATGTTTTCCAAAAAAATCTTAAAATTTCAACTTTAAAGATCTTAAAACACATAATAAACCGAAAAGGATTTTCTGTCATGTAATGGTAAAAGTTTTAAAACGAAAACTGAATAAACAGTTTGATCGGAGTGTAAATATTGAGTTTAACAGTCAATACTTCAAAAAAAAAATGTAAGTTTGGGTGTATGCCACTAATGAACCTAAATCAGCGATATTGTGATCTGAGATTGTTGGATTTTTCTTTGTAACCGTCAAGTTGAATATTTGTATGTACGAAATGTTACTTCTCTTTAATCTGAAAAATCTTTCGGAGTGGTGATCAGGATTGTTTGGTAAGGAATAAATTAAAAAACTGAATAAACTTTCTCGACTGTTTGGCCTGAATTCAATTTTTGTTCTGAATATATGTTAGGTTATAGAAGGTACGGAAGACCAGTAAACATAGTAAACATTTTGATCAAATTTGTTAAATATTTGATCTTTTAAAAAACTTCTTTCTTATTTTTTTTCGGATAATTAAAAGTAAGTTTATTTGTTGATTTTCTTTTGCTGATAGAAGTCAAAGATCATGATTCAATCATAAGATCAGATAATCATGATTTTGCCTTTCAAACTTCTTGTTTTGAAAGACAAATTATATCTTGACATGTTTAATTCTTTTTTATTTTGGCTATAAGAAGTTAGAATTATTTGTATTAAAAGCTTTACTAAAGGATTATTTGTTTTCCAATCTGTGCCTTTTTTTTACTGTTTCATTATTACAAAATTTTGAGTACTATGTTGTATTTTACAGTAAATTCTTATAACATAAGAAGATTTTTATTCTTATTTCAAATAAAGCGTAGAATAATCTACGTTCTTGTTGGATTAATTTAACACTTTTCAACTATACTTGTAAAATAACAATTTACTCAAGAATGCAATGATTATACTCATTAAAGCAGCTCAACTAGGTTTTTGTTTACTAACTTTGATTGCTGGTCTAACAGACCACCAATAATTCATTTTTTGTACTATGAGTCATGCTCAATTATTCTCAAAAACAATCTATGATTTTGAATAATTATTGAAAAATATGATAGTAATTTTGAAACACTGTTATTTATATTATCTCTAAAAAAAGTTATATTAATCACAAACATGTGTTGCAATGTTCATCTCATGATGATAGGCTTCTAAAATAAGCAATGAGAATTGTAAAAAGAATAAATAAGCAGTGAGAAGTGTTTTTTATATAGGGTGACCTGGGGTAATTCCTGATCAAAAAATGCAAACATCTATTTTGTGAAAAAACTATTCANCATACAAAAAATGCAAAGGATATATAATACTTTTACCTTTTATATATCAGGGGTCAGGTTTTTCTGAGAAGTAGGGTGACCTGGGGTAATTCCTGATCAAATAATGCAAACATCTATTTTGTGAAAAAACTATTCACGATAGAATTTTAATATTTTCTGGAAGTTTGAGGCTATATGAGATGAGTCCTATGCTACTTTCTTTTGTTTGAAAATCTAATTAGAATTTAAAAGATTTTAAATTTTTAGTGATCAGGAATTACCCCTTCTCTTGATCAATTCTGGGGTAAATCCTGATCATTTCTGGGGTAATTACTGATCACCAGTTTTTATAGTAAATGGGCTGTTTGAAAATAATTATACAATGGTAATTAGCAAATAAGACATTAAGATCAAACAAATAAACCAAAAAGATATGTTTAAGCAGCTAATAAAACTGTTTATTTAAAATCAGGAATAGAGATTAACACTTCAGCTCTGGCAGCAGCTCTCACACTGAAATTTTCATTTTCAATCATTAAAAGAAATTCACTATTTTTGCTATCTAGAAGCTTAGTATCCTTTTTAAGCTTATAATTTCTCACCATATTTATATTAGGTTAATTTATCAACTATAAAATTATTCTAACAATGTACACACATAAATTTAAGATAGAAGCAAGGTAAGATATGCTAGAAATGGTGCATATCAGAACACATTTTTCTTGTATACAGTTAAAAACAAATTTTGTGATTATAGTTAAAATATATTTTATAGTTGTTCCACTTAATAAATATGAACTGTTATTTAAGAAAAGACAATTGACTATTTATTAGCTATTTTTTATACTATTTATAAGAAGAAATGACAATGATCAGGAATTACCCCAGTGATCAATAATTACCCCATCTGTAGGGGGCAACATTTGATATAGTTTCCTATAATCAATTATAATGTTTACAGTAGATGTGAAATAATTAAGCAAAAGCCTACACTATTTTTATATCAAGGAAAAAGAAAGTAACTCAAAATATTTATTGTTAAGAGAAGGAGGGGGATCTTTGCAGAAATGTGCACATTTTGAAACCCATCTTTGAAATGTAAAATACAGAAAGCATTTTAAAAGATACTTATTTTGTCAGATTAAACAAAAAACTGTTATTAAGTAAAAGTAGTTATACTTTAGTAAAGTGAACAAGCATTCTTGTCCATGTCTCAAACTTAAAAAAAAAATTATTTTTTTAAGTAAAACTCAGGTGATCATTATTTACTCCAGAAACAGAGTGATCCTGAATTACCCCGGGTCACCCTACTTGTAAAATTACTTATCTGGCAAAAGGTTTAACTTAGTCACTATTTAAGATACCATTCATTTGAAAGTTAATATTGACATTGTAAGGCAATATTTTATTTCATGAATGAAAAATTTGTTTCAAGATCAGAATATATCATCGATCGAGATGAAATTGCTTCATGTTTGTAAAGTAAAATCAAAAAACATTTCTTTTAATCTTAAAATAGCATGGTTGCAGCAAATAGCTAAGACTCAATCCAATTCAAAAGTTTACTGACCAAAAAAAATTAGATTGTTTTCAATGTTCAGAAAAATCGAAGTGTATAAGGGAAATTAAATATTAGAAATTAGTGAGTCCTTGATTATTTTCTGGTTTCTTCATGTATCCATATTTGTTACCTAAGCATTTTCTAGTTTTACTGTTTTTTTTTTTTTTTTTTTTTTTTTTTTTTTTTTTTTTGGTTTTTATTTATAGAAATTCGGTTTCTATTTTTAAGTATAAATCGTAGGATTATACCTAATAAGATTTTTATAAATTATGTATTTTATTCATTTCAGTAGCACTTAAAGTATTATACTTTTCACAATGGGTTATCCAATTCAGATGCTTTGATAGTGCTCTCCCCAAGCGTTTTTAGAAGGGCAGTCCGCTGTGCCTGTCTATTCATATTCATATTTTATTCATACTTTTGTTATATATGTTCATTCATATTTTTTTCCTGGAAATGGTGGACTGATATTATAATAATGTCTGAAATTAGAGCTTAAATTGTAATATGTGAATTTAAACAACTTTGTTGATAAAGTTGTTCTGCTAAAAGTATATTTTTCACCATGTCTTTAAAAATTTACTTACAAATGAGCCAAGTATGTTTATAAAGTATAAGTGAAAAATCTGGCTATATTCCTATTTAGAAAAAAATACTGAATAACCCTGAGAATGGATTTTTTAAAAACCGGAAATCTGACTTGTGAATAGAAAAAGTCTAGCTAAATTTATTTTAAATTCAAGACCAGATTTTGTGATTTGCCTGTTATAATATCATATTTTAAAAAAATTTATTTTTTAGAAATATGTGGAAATCTGTAGCAATAAAATAATGATACATGGCAAACTGCCCTACTTTCCAACTGAAAAGCAGTATACAAATAGAACATTTGAAAAAAAGAAAAAGAATTAACTGTCATTAAATCTGTCATTAAATTATATTGAAATATCTGTTAAATTATATTGAAATGTAAAATCTGTCATTAAATTATATTGAAATATCAAAATTTTAAAACCAATGTGTTATATACGTAGTATGACCTCCAAAAAATTGGCATAAAAGACTAAGTGGATTCGCAAAATAATTAAGCACTTTATTAATTTTTTTAAACTGTGAGCGTGTAAGTTTGAGATCTCTATTACTTTGAGTTAAATATCAAGGATCTGGAAATTTCTGAAATTTGGACCATCCAAACTTCCGAGCAGTCTGGACATCCGAGGTTATATTGTAATACATAAACTGTTTGAAGGTATTTCTCAGAATCAAATATATACGAGGCATTTTATGAATGATTTCATATTTGAATTTTTTCCTTTGTTTACTTATCGTTTAGTCTGTAAGATAATGCTTCAAGGCATTATCTTACAGACTAAACAATAATAAACTGACTTACCCTAGTGTATTAAGACCGGTATTTGTTTCTGACTACTTTTGCATTGAAAACTTTGGCCATAATTTCATGGAAAAGTCTTTTGTATTTTTGTGTTGAATCTCTGTACCATCTAGCAGCTGCAATCATTTTAACAATATTCCAGTTAGATATGAGCTAACCTGCATGCACTTATTCACATGCAATCTTATTTGCACAATTTTTTTCCTCATCAGCTCATTATCTTTGCTAAAAATATTGACATAAACTTAATAAAACCCTACCCTTACACAAAATGTTAGTCTTATCACTCCAAATTAAGTTATTTTTAATTGACACAGAATTCTATTTTAATTATATTTTATTAAGTTCTTTTATTTTATATATAAACAGGGCTGCCAACTATCTACGCTTTTCGGAAAAATTTCTTCTAGTGATAGCTAAGTTAGTGCTTTAATGTATGATTATTTGTTTTATAACTTTGATTTAAAGTTATTTTCCCTACCACTTACCACTACGTGTGTAAATAATTCAAAAGTTCATATGAAACACCAGATAAATCCCAATCTTTCTAGTCTATGAAATTTTTTGTAAAAAGCATAGTAGTTTGCAACCTTGTATAAATATGTATTCGTCATTATGAATTTCATTTATAATATCAAATTTTTTCCTCTAAAGGTTTGACAAATCCAAAGCTTTCTACTGTGTTGCTCTTACAAAGTTTAGAAAATCTGAACAACTGATATAACTTGATATAGCTATGACTTGCAAATGCGAATCCAGAATACCAAGTGCGATATATTAAGTGTAAGTTTTTGTTTTCATATTTAATTCAAGATACTGCTCCTTTAATAACCAGTGAAATAAATAACCCAAAACCAAAATGCCAGCTATAAAAGACCTAAATATTGTCAAGATAGCTGTTGAGATGGATGATCTAATGCCACAACTTATGGAGTTCGACCAGAAGCGTCCTTTAGCTGCCATCATTCAAGACTTGTGTACAACGTGGGGTCTCACAGATCCTGATCAGTATGCTCTTCAATTTTCAGATAATGCTCATAATTACATAACTGAAAAAAATAGAAATGACATAAAGAATGGAAGTGTATTGAGATTAACCTTCTCTTCAACCAAAACAGCTCAAGAAATTTTAGAAAAACTTAACTATGGTGCAACAGATGAAAAGAAAACAGCCTTGAGAAGATTGGCTAGGTTATCTACTGATTACACTTTTGCACTTGAATTTATCAACAAGCAGGGATCTAATTTTTTAATTTCTATGATTGAAGGAGGTAGCTTTACTGGAGAATTAATGGCACTTACTCTGCAATCATTTGTGGAGTTAATGGATCATGGCATTGTATCTTGGGACAATCTGCAAGATAAATTTATTAGCAGAGTTGCAAATGAGGTGAATTCTCAAAGTTCAAATCAAGATGCTAGAGCATTACAGGCTTCTTTGGCCATCTTAGAATCTCTGGTTTTAAACAGCTCTGGCAAATATCCTCTCGTTGAACAAGAAGTCACATTGCCCTTTTTAATCATTCATTTGCAATCCAGTTCACCTGAAATTCAACAAAATGCTATTGCACTGATAAATGCCTTATTTTTGAAAGCAGATCAAGCTAAAAGACGAACTGTGGCTGCCACATTAACATCCAAACAAATTAGAAATGTTATAATGACACATATAATACAATTACAACATGTTGGAGCAGAAATGGCACATCAATTATATGTACTTCAAACATTGTTGTTTAATTTGCTTGAAGAGAAGATGAAAAGGAAATTGGATCCACAAGATCCAGAAGCAAGAGAGAAAATCCTAGAATTGAGAAAAATAGCTTTTGATACTGAAACAGATATGAGTTCTCTACATCCTCCTAAGAAAGGTGGTGGTTATATAAAGGATTACAAGAAACTTGGCTTTAGAAATCATGTCAATCCTGCTGAAGATTTTTCTCAAATACCTCCTGGTATGTTAGCTTTGGATAATATGATATATTTTGCTCGTAACCATACAGAAAGTTACATCAGAGTTGTGTTAGAAAACTCTTGCAGGGCTGATGAACACGAATGCCCATTTGGTAAAACTAGCATTGAACTCACAAAATTGTTGTGTGACATTCTTAAAATTGGTGAACCTCCGACAGAGCAAGGAAAAACATTTTATCCCATGTTTTTCACTCATGATAATCCTTTTGAAGAATTCTTCTGTATCTGTATTGTTCTACTTAATAAGACTTGGAAAGAGATGCGAGCAACAACGGAAGATTTCGCAAAGGTAGTTTCAGTCGTAAAGGAACAGATAACGAGAGCTCTGAACACTGATCCACCTCCTCCAGCTTTAGAAAAATTCAGATTGAAGTTAGCGACACTGACATATAATGAAATTACCAACTTATGGCAACAAGAACGCTCTAACCGTGAAGAATGGGAAAGCCAGGCTAAGCCAATTGTGGAGTTGCGGGAGCAAATCACTCCAGATATTAGAAATCTTATTCAACAGCAAAGACTTGAATATTTATGTGAAGGAACCATGTTTACCAAATATTCTAACAAGGGCCAAAGAATAAAGGATAAGTTCTGGTATTGTCGTCTCTCACCCAATCACAAAGTCTTCCACTATGGAGATTGTGAAGAAAATCGTGGTGTTCCTTCCATGGAAGAGTTGCCGCACAAATTGCAAGTTGTTGAAGTAAAAGCTCTTGTCACTGGCAAAGAATGCCCACACATGAAAGAAGTTAAGCGTACAAAATCTACATTATCTCTTGCATTCTCTTTAATTCCTGATTCTGATCAAGAACCTTTGAACTTTATCGCCCCAAATGAGAAAGAATTTGATTTATGGACGGATGGGATTAATGCTTTGTTGGGTAATAAAATGATAAGCAAAGAAACAAAGAATGATCTTGAAACACTCTTAAGTATGGATATTAAACTACGATTGCTGGATACGGAAGGTGTTGACATTCCTGAAAACCCTCCTCCTATTCCCAAAGATCCTCCAAATTATGATTTTTGCTACGATTTCAAATAAATTATTTTGTTATGAACTTTTTTAATATTTTATTTTCTTAGCTCTATTTATAAAATGCTTTTTTTTTTATTAGAAGGAATTTATTTTGTATATATTTTATCTATTATGTTTATTCATTTGTTTATCACCATGTTGCAAATTTTTATGTGTTCTGAGAAAATATAATTTTAAAGCTCTTAATTTTATTAGTTTATGATTTTTTTTTAATTAAATATTTTTGTAATTTGGTTTTAAAGATTAAATTTTAAACTCATACTCTTAAATATTTTTTTCTTTGCTGATCATTCATTTCTCATGGTTGTCCAAAGATGATATGATCTTGTATTACATTTTTGAGCTGTTTGGATTTCACAAATTGAATAGCTGGTTGAATATTAAATGCAGCATTGTATGAGAAGAAAATTTTTTAGTATAGAGTAGTATTTGTCTTAATGTTATGTGGATTGTAGCTTTGGAAAAAGCTTTAAAAAAAACTATGTATTGAATATTGTATACAAAATTCTTTTCAGAATTAAATAGATTATGCATATTTTCTTTATTATTTCTAATCTTTGTTGCATATTTGTAAGTCAATGAAGGTATTCATTGATATTCTTCTATGCGAATTTTATATTTATATTCTAAATTACTACCTACTAGTAATTTTTTTAAAAAGTTAATGAGGTATGACCAGAATCAGATTCTAATTATAAATATTGAATATAATTCTCTCTTCTTTTTTATTTATTTTCTTTTATAACCAATAGCAATAGTTAGCAATTTACTTCAAAGAAATATTACTGTGATATTAAATTCGTAAGAAATTGAGACAAATTGTCTTCGTGTTGCAAATAGAATTGTAGTCCAAAGCTTTTCATTTTTCTTAAATGAATATTTATCAACAAAAAAAAGAAAGAAGGAAATTCGTTCAGTATCAGTAATATTTATTAACTGACATTTTTTTATGACTGATAAAATGTTATTTAAAAAAAAGCTCTAATTAAATTCAAAAAACTTAAATAAAAATTCTGAAAAATTATAATTCCAAAATAAATGCATTGAAGGAACAATTCTTCTTTTAAAGAATTAATATTGTTTAAAAATTATAATCTTTAACTTACGAGAAAATACAGTGGTGTGAATAACTATATCAATTAATTTTCTTTTCATTTTAGGCAATATGTAGTTATATTTTCTGAAGATTTTTAATTTAATATGCGAGTGTAATATGGAAATAAAAACGTCATTTTTATTATTTATTGCACCTATATTAAATTAACTATTGTAAATCTGTATTTTATAAATTGTACCATTAGTTTTTTTAATGATATATATTTATCGAAACTTATTTGTCGATTTATATATGAAAAAAATGCTTGATTACATTTATATTTTAAATGGTTATATAAAAGTTTTATTCCATTTACATTGTAATTAGTATTTCCATTTTTAATAAAGTCCTTGTGTGTGATAATGATTTTTAGTCTTGATATTTTTTTACATTATAATTTTTTAGAGGCCTTTTATAAAATCATAGTAAATGAGTGAGTCCCTACAATTAACTTTCTTGTTTGTATTGACAGTTGCAAATTGTAATAGAAAAGTTTTATTTACCCACTTGTATTTCAATATACATTGTAAGAGACAGTTATTAAAGATGCTATCAGGGTTTAGTGATTTAAATCAACTGATTTTTTTTAAGAAAAAATTCTTAAGCATTTTATCATGAAGTTGTGTATTTTTTTTAAATTAATTTTTCTAATTATACTTTTTGTTAAGAATACTTCAGAAAGTTCATTATTTAGACAACAATTTAAAAAAAAAATTCCTAATCAGACCTCTGTGTGTGAGATTTTTTTTTTCTCAAGATTTCCTTATCAACAGATCTACAACAATTAATTTCAATAAGTTTCGAATACAACAAGAGAAAAGAATAAATTAACTGTCTAACCCATTAGAATATTTCTAAATACTTGACTTTCCAAAAATGTGGAATCTAACCAAATTTTCCAAAAAAAAAAAAAAAAAAAAAAATTAAACTTTTTCTTAGTAATTTGCATTCAATTATGCTGTGTTTAGGGATCGAATAATAGTAATTTTTAAAAAGTTTCTATCTGGTTGATTTCCCATCTTAAAAAGTCCCTTACGTGTGACACAGGTTTCAGGTATTTAAAACTGGAAGGTTATTGATTGATCTAAATTTTTTGGGCATGAGCCATGTTTGGGACTGTGCCTCACCTAAAACCAGGCAAAATTCAAAATAACTAGATTAAAAATGATACAATCTGATTAAAGTCAAATGAAGTAAGTAATAGTCAGGATAGTAAGGTTAAAATTCGAAGTCAATCGAATTAAGATCTTTTACTGAGATAAGATTATAATTAGTTTGGATATAAAACTTAAATGAGGGAAAAATATCCTGTGTTCTTGAAGTTGAGTATAAGATTTGGATGAGGAGACTTGAATCAAAGTAGATCAATATGAAAATTCACTGCAAGAGTATCGACGTCTTGTGAATTTCAATTTTGGACGGGGAGTGAAAAAAGTTCGGAAATGGTCAAATATCTCGAGAAATAAACATCGGGTCATAAAGCTATTCAATGATACTGATACCAAACTCATCTTTCATTCTAAACACCATAGGAAGGACTGAAAGATCTTAAATATGCTTTGAACTCTTAATGTGAACCCCTATTATTTATTGTAGATTCGGATTCTTCTGAAAAAAGCAACCTTATTTGGTTTGTAGGTTTTTGCTTCACAGATAGCGCTGTAACCGAGAAAATTAAAAAGGGTACAATTGTTTAAAATGATGGTAGCTAGAGACCCACCAGATTGAAAATAAAACCAGAAATGTTACGGTATTTTTTCAAAATAAAAAAAATCAATACAATTTTTTTGTAACGTCTTTTTTTTTTCTCCCTCTCTCTCTCTCTCTCTCTCTCTTTTAATAATAAAGATTTGCTATTTTAAACAACTTGTAAACTCTTTAATTTTTCTGTGAAGCGCTGTAACTGAGAAATTATGATCTCTAACAGGTAAGTGATATAATTTAAAGGTAATTTTGACCTATTAGAACACCCAAATGCACAACAGCCTGTCATTATTAATCTAAAAGTACGAAACAAATAAAGGAAAAAGAAAAGCGAAAATGGAAATATCAGATCGAGTGCAATGATACTTCACCGTTTAAATCAGTCAACAAAATGGCGACTGTTTAACCATGTGATCGGCGACGACCAATCAAAACCGAAAGCCGCACAAAGGAAGCAAGAAAAGAGTTATGCTACTTTACTAGGTAATCTAGGGCTTTATTTTAACTATTTGTGTGTAGCAGATGGCAGAATCATTTTGCACCGTCTTTAATAAATCAAGAATCCAATATTTTTGTTGCTTCTTTACTAAATCTCCCGAAAAAGTCAGCAGAGTTTACTTTTATAATAGTGTATAAAATTTTAGAATTTCAAATAAATTAAAATTGATGATGAAAGATGAATAATAAGACACTCTTAATTATCACAATAATATAGTAACTCAAATACATCTCTAGAAATTTGGCATTTCCTGGGTGCAAAATATTTGCATTTTATGTGTTGTTAATTTAGGAAAAGTTAAAAGTTGCTTTGATGATTATATTTACTACTTATTAATTTGGCGGATACCTTGTAACAGCTGATTAGTTCAATGACGTAGCAAGATTTGTTATCATTCGCGGGGCAGTTTTCAAGCTTGTAATTCTCATATCCAGGAAAATTTTAAATGAAATTTATAGAGGAAGCAATTTTTTTTCCAATTGGGTTAATAACAGGGAAAAGAGGTGTCTCAGAGGATTTAGAGCTTACCTCCTAAGGAGCTGTCCCAAGTTCGAATCCCAGCACTGACTGGTCAATACGAATTTTGCTTCAGGCTCGCACCGATCACAACGCAGAAATATCTTCCGTGAAATATCCTTAGTGGTCGACAGATTATGGGTTAGAATCCCCTTGACGTCGGGCTAACCGTGGGAGGTTTTTGCGGTTTTCCGCTCCATGCAACATGAATGCGGGTTCATCAAAAAGTTCTCCACCAAGGTTAGTTTGTCCCAATGCTTGATCCAGGAGTTCCCTTGTCTTCTGGGTTAGTTTCAAAACTACGAGGCTACGGAGATGAGTATTGATAGTCGTGAACTCAGAATTGGGTCGACTGTTCAACGCCGGTGATAAAATAGAATAAAATGACAAAGCAGAAAATGTTAGTCATTTTCTAAACAATTTTATAACAGTAAATAAAAATTACATTCTTTTTTATTAATAACTCAGTATAATTCACACTAGATATTAATATAAACACGCAGCATTCTTTCCGATAAATAGTTAACTAGCTCAGAATTTTATTAAAAATGGCCCAATTTAATGAAAATTAAGAGGAAAAAAATACTCAAACGGTGATGAACATAAAATAAGAACAAAACTACCAACTATTAAAGTCAGAAATTTATGGCATAAAAATATACGCTTTTAGATTATGGGAAAGTAATTTTCATCAATAACATAAAAATTGTAAAGTATTTTAAATGTACCAATGAAGGTGGGAAATGCATCTTTATTATATGATAAATTCTTTTACTAATGTTCTAAACTAAATTATTTGGAAGTTTCAATTTAAATAAATTTAAAAACACACATTAGTGTATAACCTAGGAAAAAATATCAATTTATTAACAGAATAATGCTTAAGAAAACACGTTTCAAAATTTATAAAAAAACTGGTTTTCATAAAAAAATTACGAAATTATGATTAAGTACAACGATTCAAAAAATTATGTTACAGCTTAACTGCACTGTTACAGTGGTTTCCGAAGCGACAATTAGACGATTTTTAACAAATAGATATTTTATATATTTAATTTTAAACAAAAAAATTTTTAACTCCTTTTTTGATGACAGTTTCTAACAAATAGATATTTTTAAACTGACATTGCTAAAATGAAAATTATTTAAAATTTTTTTTTAAATGATGAATTTTCAGCTGTACAGCATAAGTTAAAATTTGACAAAATTTTTCTTTCATCTTTTCAACACTCAACCCATAGCTACCGAATTGCCTGATTTTTGAGGGAGCATTTCTTTTTATTTTTTAAGTAATAATATATTAATATTTTTTTGTAAATTTTTGTCTAACAAAGATGTAATTAGTCCAGTTCCATGTGTGGATAGTTTTAAAAAAATGCATAAAAGCCCTAACATTAGGTTAAAGTTTATTAAAATTATTTCACATTTTAATTTAAGTAATAAACACAAATTGTGCACAATAAAACATAAAACCATTTTTCACCCCAATAGAGTTGATACCAGAGGTTGAATTAAAAGAAAATATAATTTAGTATAGATCAAAATTTTTCGTAATTTATGTTAAAAATACCTTCAGCGAAAATAAACTAATTTTTGTCACCCCCTCTTAGGTAGTACCCGGTTGACCATCCCTGCCTTCCTCAGGTTAGGGGCTGTTTGAAGATAAATATCCTAGTCCTTAAGTTTTTAGCAAAATACTTTTTTCAATGACAGTGAACTGATCCGAGGTGGCTCGGGAGATAGAGGGTATGAGGCGGCCCAGGTTTGAATCCAAGCGGTGGCTGGTTGATACGAATTCCGCTCCCCGCTCACACTGACCACAGTGCTGACGTAAAATATCCTCCGTGGTAGACATAATATGGGTTAGAATACCCTTACCATCGGGCTAACCGTGGGAGATTATCGTGGTTTTCCTTTCCATGTAACGCAAATGTGGGGTAGATCCCTCAAAAAGTCCACCCCGATGGCTAGTTAGTACCAATGCTTGACCAAGAGTTCCCTTGTCTTCTGGGTTGCTTACAAGGCTACGGAGTTGAGCATAGATAGTCGTAAACTCAAAATTGGATCGGCTA